CGCCCCCCCCCTCCCGCGTCCGCAGGTCACCGCGGCCATGAGCCGCGTGGAGGGCATCCTGGACGTCCACGACCTCCACATATGGAACATCTCGACAGGCATCCCAGTGCTCACCGCCCATGTGCACATCGGCGAGGACGCCGACCAGACGCAGGTGCGGCGCTCGGGCGCCTGCGCGTCGGGTCCCGGGCCGCCGCTCGACCCGCGCTCGCCTGCTGGTTGAGTATCGATGGTTTAGGGGAAGGTTCGATGTGTCTGGTGCTCGCTGAAGCGCAATGGGCTAGGATGTGGAGGGCTAGCACAAACAAAGGGTTTAGGGGGCCCAAGCGGCTGCAAAACTCAGTCTCGGTGATAGACTGGCGTGCCGGCTCGGGTTGCGCTTCAGAGCTGGCAGCCCATCCTTTGGACGGTTCCATAATTGCCTGGAAGGGTCTCGGGCACTCAAGTTCTTGGCCTCGCCCCGAAACGCCCAACTTTTGCAGTGTCGTCCGCCGGAGCCATACCCCTCAACCACCCGCTCCTGCCAACGCGCGATGACTCCAAACCCTCGCAGGTGCTGCAAGCGCTGGAGGTGTACGTGCGCCGCATCGGCATCAAGCACTCCACCATCCAGATCTGCAACCCCATGGCTGGGGAGGGCGGCAGCGGCAACGGCAGCAGCGGGGTTGGCGGCGGCGGCGGCGGCGGCCACCACAGCCACAGCCACAGCCATGACGAGGGCGACTGCGAGGCGGGCCAGCACTACCACGGCCACGAGCACGAGCATGAGCACGGCGGTGGTTGCTCAGGGCACCACCACTGAAGGCTGTTATGTATTTCAATCAGATATTTTTACTTTCATTTGCCTAACACAAATTTGTGATGGGTGTGGTGGGCACCGTCCAAACGTCAAAACCAACACTGGCACACATGTGAAGGCCCCTGCTGTTGATTTGCTATTTGTAACTTTGCTTTGCATTTGCGACTGCCTTGCCTCTTGCGTTCGTGCCCACGTGCACCTCTGATCCCTCACCGTTCCCGCCCCCATCGGGTTTGCGGGTGGAACGGGCCAGCGCCGGCAAGCGCCTGCACATGCCATCCCGTCGCTGCCCCCGCAACAGCAGATTGCCGCGAGCGTTGCAGGGTAACCGTATCTGTTGCACTGTGCCAAGATAATTGGGCTGGATCAAAACTGCTGCGATGACTTACAGCGGAAGGTGCGGCGTCTTGCATGCTTGCACGATCGGGTGGCAGCGCGGCCGGCCCACGCAACCGATGGGGCACGATGGATGTGAGAAAGGCACGAGGCGTCCGCCCAGACGGCGCGGCGAGGGCGCGAGGAGTGGAGTACAAGTGGCGGGGTGTCGAGTACAATACGGGAGCGACCGCGTGCACGCTGCCGTGGCGGCGGGCGCTGAGAGGGGGGCCGACGCGAACGCGAGCTGCCAGCACACGGCACCGGCGCATCCCCAGCCCACAAGCGGCTCTTGGGGCAGGCGCTGCGCCGCCTGCGCCCTGGCGAGGACCAAGGGGGGACTCAATCTGGCGTCACGTTGCGTTGGGGCGCGCGACACGGCAACAAACCAACTCAGCGGCACCTGCTGCAGAAAAGGGCAGCAGGCCCGATCCAGCAACCAACCGCCGCCAATGGCTGCAATGCGCATTTCGGCCTGAAGAGGCGGAGCAACGGCAACATCAAATGGCAGGATTCGCCTGGAAGCGATTGCACAAACCGCAGATCCAAGGGTCAAACAGGGTCAAACTCCACTGCCCGCAGCGCCCTCAGGAGCGCTCCGTGCACACTTGCTGCATCGCCGCCGGCCGCAGCCGCAGCCGCTCCTGCTGCTGCTGCAGCAACTGCATGGTGGCGATCAGGGCGGCGTAAAACCTGACCCAGCTGAACCGTACGAGCAGCGCTGACCACCACCCCGGCTGCTGCTGTTGATGATGCGGTGCCTGCTGCTGTTGCTGCTGCTGCTTCGGGCTGCGGGCGTTGTTGCTGCAGCCGCCGTCGCCGCCCTCGCCCGCCACCGCGCTGGCACGTCGCTGCGCACGCCCCCGCCCCTGATCATCGCCCACCGCCGCCCCGTGCGCGTGCGCGTGCACGCGCGCCGCGGCGCCGGCGTCCAGGGCGCCAGGCTCGAAGAATGCCCCCGGCACCGCCTGCTGCCGCTGCGGCTGCAGGCTGATGCTCCAGAGCCACGGCAGCACGCCGACCGGCGGGTCGCGCAGGATGACGTTGTCGACCGCATGCTCGTAGATCTTCCCCTCGCGGTCGAGCTTGTACTGCGATATCCCGTCAAACACGCCCTCCGCCTCCCATGGTACGCGCGGGATACCGTGCACCGTCCAGCGCATGCGGATGCAGCCGTCCTCGGTCTGCCAGATGCGCTTCACGTCCACGTACAGCTGGGGTGGAGGAGTACATGGTTTGGGTGCCGATCAGAGGGGAGGGGGGGGGGCGCAGGGGTCGCCCGGGGCAGGGGGAGAGGGCGCGTGGAGTGCCCTCTCCAGACCGACAGAAAAGAGGACAGGAATCCTTCACGTCGGCGGGGCGGGCCCCGACCTGCTCTTGTCCTGGCGCACGGGCGCTGCTACCCTGTCCTGACAAGCGAGCAGATTCATGCAATCCGGCACCCCCGCCGTGCGGCGGAAGCGGCCCAGGGGTGTTGACGCACCTTTGTGAAGAAGATGCGGCCGTGGAAGCGAAGGGACCAGAAGATGGTTTTGTAGTTGCCAATGCCCTGGAAGCTGTTGCGGGGGTCCCGGAACACAATGTCGTCGCGGTAGATGGAGACTGGGGAAGACAGAGGTTTGCGGGGTGGTTTGCGGGCGTTGGAGCAGGGGGTGGGCGGGGGTGGTGGCAGGGGTGGGGAAGGGGCAGGGCGTGGGGCGCGCCATTCGCAGGGCGAGG